CCCCATCACTGGTGTCAGTGGGAAGAATAGTGCCCCATCATTGGTATCAGTGGGAGGAATAGTGCCCCATCATTGGTGTCAGTGGGAGGATTAGTGCCCCATCATTGGTGTCAGTGGGAGGAATAGTGCCCCATCATTGGTGTCAGTGGGAGGAATAGTGCCCCATCATTGGCGTCAGTGGAAGGAATAGTGCACCATTGTTAGTGTCAGTGGGAGGAAAAGTGTCCCATCATTGGTGTCAATGGGAAGAATAGTGCCCCATTATTTGTATCAGTGGGAAGAATAGTGCCCCATTATTTGTATCAGTGGGAAGAATAGTGTCTCATATCAGTGGGAGGAATAGTAGCCCATGGTTGGTGTCAATGGTAGGAATTATGACTCATTGTTGGCATCAGTGGGAGGAATAGTGCCTCATATCAGTGGAAGGAATAGTGCCCCAAGGGCCAGATAAAGGCAAGCATCCCACCACCCCTGAGCCTCAGTTTGAAGACCAATATTTCATGCCTTCAGTGGCTTTGTTGATTAGACAAAAAAATGGCCTTGAACATATGGTGGCCCCATGTATGGCCAACTTCCAACCTGTTCTGCATTTCAGCACTTGCAGAATGACATGGAAACTGAAAGTGTTTGAACAGAAGAAAACCCAGAAGCAGATGGAGGAAGACGGCTGACACGATCATGAGTTTGTGGTCTCCATTCTTAGTTATGACAGTCAGGTCCTCCCTCCACGCGGCTCCCATACACAGAATAATCTCAGGAAACATATTTCAACAGAACTTCTTCCAAACCAAACAGTGAGAGGTGTGCGCAGGTCTCTTATCAGCATCGGGAAGATAGAGCCAGTTAGACGGGGGCTCTGAGGGAAAGCTTTGAAATTTCAGTCACGCCATGGCTCATGGAGGTGTTGTGCTGGTGACGGCCCACAAAACAATTCCTGTTTTGCTAGCGTGCAGAACCAGCTTTATTTTACTTTGCAGAAATATTGGCGTCTTGCTGCCTCATCAACCTGGCGCATACCAAACACGGGTAATTACTGTGTCTGAGTCTACCTGTTTCAAGAGTTTCCTAGTGACCCCACCCCAGCCACAATATGCCCCCTCACACACTATTAACCCTTTGTATTCAACAACGAGCATTTCAACATATAAATTCAGACTATGTCAGAGCTTTTCAACTAGGGTTCCTACAGAGGTTGGTGGGGGTTCCCAATGAGCAATTTCTGATTCTCAAATAAGTTTCCCACTGACACCATTGATCTTTTTAGCAATCTGTAAGGGGGAATTCTTCCCAACGACCACAAGTGTAAGGAGGTTTCTTCCCACTGACCATCACACTAATGCGTCATGAGTTGTAGAAATAGTCATTTTTAGCAGGGGTTCCCTGAGACCAGGAAAGTTATTTAAAGGGTTCCTCTGCATTGAAAAGGTTGAGAAAGGCTGGGCTATGCATTGTATTAACACATATCCATTTGAATGGACTAGCCATAACCCTTAAAGCTGAACTCCAGCTCTTACTTCCATCTTGTACAGTTGTATAGGCTTTCCTATACTGAAATAGCGTACTCTGATTTCACTGCACACTGTGAGCTTCTCACAGTGTGCTGAAGATACAGCAAATTAGCTAGAGCCTGCCTAATTTCCTGGCTGGGGGACACCAAGCATCATCTAGCCTTTCCTCTCCACCTACTTCATCCGAACCTGAAAACTTTGTATTTGATCTGTCTCAGTCTACCTGCAGAGTGACTCTGTTTTTCAGTATGGGTTTCATTGTTTGCTGCCTTATGAATCCCTATAGTTGCCATTATCCTCCTTTTCTGCATCTGCACATACACTGCAGTCTTACTCTGAAAACCAGTTTGTAGAGGGTGTGGTTTCACTGATCTCACTGGGGAAAGACCAATTTGTGTGTGTAGGAGGTGGGATCAAACTAGGGAAAGACCAATATGTGTGTGTTGGAAGTGGGATCAAATTAGGGAAAGACCAATATGTGTATATTGGAGGTGGAATCTAGATAGGTAAAGTCCAATATGTGTGTTGGAGGGGGGGGGGGGGGGTCTAACTAGGGAAAGAAAAATGTGTGTGTGTTGGAGGTGGGATCTAAATAGGGAATGACCAATGTGTGTGTGTTGGAGGTGGGATATAAATAGGGAATGACCAATATGTGTGTGTTGGAGGTGGGATCTAAATAGGTAAAGTCCAATATGTGTGTGTTGGAGGTGGGATCTAACTAGGAAAGGACCAATATGTGTGTGTGTAGGAGGTGGGATCTAACTAGAGAAAGACCAATATCTGTGCTGGAGGTGGGATCTAACTAGAGAAAGACCAATGTGTGTGTTGGAGGTGGGATCTAACTAGTGAAAGACCAATGTGTGTGTGTTGGAGGTGGGATCTAACTAGAGAAAGACCAATGTGTGTGTTGGAGGTAGGATCTAACTAGAGAAAGACCAATATCTGTGCTGGAGGTGGGATCTAACTAGAGAAAGACCAATGTGTGTGTTGGAGGTGGGATCTAACTAGTGAAAGACCAATGTGTGTGTTGGAGGTGGGATCTAACTAGAGAAAGACCAATGTGTGTGTGTTTTGGAGGTGGGATCTAACTAGAGAAAGACCAATGTGTGTGTTGGAGGTGGGATCTAACTAGAGAAAGACCAATGTGTGTGTGCTGGAGGTGGGATCTAACTAGAGAAAGACCAATGTGTGTGTGTTGGAGGTGGGATCTAACTAGAGAAAGACCAATGTGTGTATTGGAGGTGGGATCTAACTAGAGAAAGACCAATGTGTGTGTGTTGGAGGTGGGATCTAACTAGAGAAAGACCAATGTGTGTGTGTTGGAGATGGGATCTAACTAGAGAAAGACCAATGTGTGTGTTGGGGTGCAACCTATATGCTAGAGATGGTTTGCACCTAAATGGAACGGGGGGGGTCTGCTTTGCTGGGGGAGAGGTTTATGGGAAGGCTGGAGGGAGTGTATTTAAACTAGGATCGATGGGGGAGGGAGAATTAGATTATAATGGGGTAGACAGATCAGACAGGGGTCAGTCCTTATTGGTGGGTGGAATGGGGAAAGATAGAGGGAAGGCTATGGCAGATGATAAGAAGGTTCTCATGTTGCAAGTAACCATTGGAATTGGTACCATTTGTACTAAAATAAAAAATATGCAAAATACATGTGCACAAGGTGTCAATGCATTAAAGTGTTTGTTCACCAATTCCAGAAGTCTGCCAAGCAAAATGAGTGAGTTGGTAGTATTCTATCCAAACGTGAAATTGAAACACTAGTTCCAGAGTCTCCTGTTGTTCCAATATTTTACCATCTACCTAAGACACATAAGGGGCTGGACCCCTTAACAGGTAGACCCATTGTAGCCAGTATTGTGTCCCTGAATGAAAGGGATGGACAATGGTTGGATTTCCATCCATATACAACCTATAGTGGTGGGACTCCCCAGTTACCTTCGTGATACCAACCATTTATGGAACTTGTTTCGAGAGGTTAAATGGAGGGATGGAGATAGGGGGGTCACATGTGATGTGGCGAGCCTATAATCATCCATCCCTCATACTTTGGGGCTTAGGGCTGTTTCCTTCTTTTTAGATTTGTGTGGACTATATTCCCGCATACAGAGGGAATTCATTTTGGAATGTCTTGAATATCTATTATCACACAACTACTTTTCTTTTGATAGTGTGTTTTTACCTCCAACGATGTGGGGGGCGGCGATGGGTGCCAGGCCAACCTCTACATGGGTTGATGGGAGAGGGTGAAGATATTTGGACCTGACAACCCGTTCCGTCCCTACATCCATTTTTTCAGGCACTACATAGATGATTTGATCTTCATTTGTTCCAGTGAGTTTGGAGATTTTGTCATATCTCAACGACAACGAACTTAACCTCAGTTTCACTGGACAGATGAACGATCACAGCATTAATTTCTTGAATGTCACACTGAGGGGTTGTGAGGGTGCAGTTGTCACCAGTTTGTATAGGAAACCCTTGTCAGGCAATAGCATTCTAAGAGCTGACTCAGGACATCACAAACACACAGTTAGAGGGATTCCTGTGGGACAGTTTCTACGATTGCATAGGATTTGCTATAAGGAGGAAGATTTCAATAGAGAGGTGACACACATGAACATCTAATATATTTGATCACCTCTAGAAGTCGTAAAGTACAATATGTTGGTAGGATGACTGGGAGGCTTCGAGATTGCCTTCATGATCATGTCTATGACACAAAAGAACCATTCTACCAATATCGCTAATCATTTTAACAGTGCTCATGGAGGTGACCTGAGTGCTTTAATAAAATAAAGGTCACAAAACCTGAAACCGAACGACAGATTGCAAAAGATAGCAGGACCGACCCCCAAACATTCTTCAAATATATTAATAGTAAAAAGGTCCGGTCCCAGCATGTAGGCCCTTTACAGAATCATCTAGAAGGGGTGACTGGGGACAAAGAGAAGGCAAATGTATGAAAATCCCTTCTTCAGCTCTGTGTATACAAAGGAGCATGGGGAGCTCTTGTCCATAATGGGGGTGGTACTGACACAGCTCCAGATGATCCACATTGGCTCACAATTGATATGAACCAAAAATATTTAGACAGAATAAAGGTGAATAAAGCCCCTGGACCAGATGACATACACACACGGGGCCTTAAAGAATTCAGCTCTGTCATTTCACAGCCATTGTTTCTAATTTTTAGGGACTCTTTAATGACTGGCAAACCAGTACCACTGGATTGGCGTAAGGCCAATGTGGGGCCAATATTTAAAAAGGGGTCAAAATCTTTACCAAAGTAATTATAGACCTGTTAGTTTAACGTCTATAGTTGGGAAGATACTGGAGAGTTTAATAAAAGACACATAGAGGAGTTCTTGCTGGAAAATAATATTTTAAGCAACAGACAGCATGGATTCATGAAAGACAGGAGTTGTCAAAGAAATCAGATTTGTTTTTTATGAGGCGGTGAGCAAAACCTTGGACAGAGGGGTGGCGGTGGACATGGTATACTTGGACAGTAGGGGTGGCGGTGGACGTGGTATACTTGGACAGAGAGTGGCGGTGGACGTGGATGTTATAAACTTGGACAGAGGGGTGGCGGTGGATTGGTATACTTGGACAGAGGGGTGGCGGTGGATGTGGTATACTTGGACAGAGGGGTGGACGGTGGATGTGGTATACTTGGACAGAGGGTGGCGGTGGACGTGGTATACTTGGACAGAGGGGTGCGGTGACGTGTATACTTGGACAGAGGGGTGCGCTATGGACGTGGTATACCTTGGACAGAGGGGTGGCGGTTGGGACGTGTAATACTTGGACAGAGGTTGGTGCGGTGGAACGTTGGTATTATACTTGGACAGAGCTGTAGGTGGCGGTTTCGTAACGGAGTGGTATAACTAGGACAAGAGGGGTGGCGGTGGAGAGTGTTATACTTGTGACAGAGGGGTGGCGGTGGGACGTTTGATACTTGGACAGAGCGGGTGCGAGGTGGACGTGGTTACTTTGGATTTTGCAAAGTGTTGGGAACAGTTCCCCACTCAAGGGGAATTTTGTTTAAAGGGAAAGTCACAGGGTTTGGAAAAATCGTAGTAAAAAGGATAGAAAATGGCTTAAAGGTATTGAGATAGTGGGTTTAAAGATTATACTCTGAATGGTCTAGGGGTGTCAGTGGTGTACCCAAGGTTCAGTGTTGGGACCCTTTCTTTTTTTTAAAATATTTTTTAAAATATAGAGTCTGGGATTAAAAAAACCCCTTTCAGTCTTTGCAGTGACAAAGCTGTGCCGGGGGGAAAAACGTCCCTTTCAGGTGTTCCAATTCAAGCCGACCTCAAAGCTCTGTGTAATTGAGGGGGGCTTGTGGCCCAAAGAGGTTTAAAGTTGATAATTAAGGGTTTGCATTGGGGGTAAGAATATGCATGCTCATACATACTAGGGGGGGTAAAAGGGGGGGGTCAAAGGTGGAGATGGACTGGGGGTTCTGGTAGATCACAAACTTAATAAAGGCAGCAATGCCCAAACTGCGGTTTTTAAAGCGGGAA